CGCGCGCCGGGGTGGCGGGCCCGCGGCCCGGTCGGGCGTCGCTCCGCCGGGCGGACGCCGGGCCCTCCTGGCGCCGCCGCCTCCCGTCGCCGGCTTCCGGCGCGCTCGAGCCGACGGCTCACGCAGCCGAAGAGCAAGCGAGGGCGCCTGGCCCCGGCTTCGGCGTTCAAGCTCACTCTCGGCTAACGTGTCTCGCTAACGTCCCCCCCTCCCGGCGTGGAAATGGTTTGCTCTGCGCGTCCGTCATGGAGGCGGGGCCCGTCAGGAGCGGGTTCCGGGGGCGGGGCGGAGCCGCCCTCCTCATGCATATTCAGCATCTGAATATGCATGAGGCAGACAAGATGGCGGGCCCAGTCTTTGGCCGGCGGTAGCCGAGGTTTGCCGAGAGGCCTCGCGCGATGGCGGGGCGCCTCCTGTCCTCCAGGGGAGGTGTTTACGAAGCCCTGGCCCCGGATCTCCAGCCCGAGCTTCTCCTGAGCTCGCAGGCCTGTTCTGGAAATAGGATGGCCTGCTACCCGAGAGCCGCAGATCACGCGACCGAGAAAAGCAGATTAGCGGCCCGGGCAGAATACGAAAGTCCTGGGGAATTTGGGGTCAAGGAATGTGAACTTTTAGGAAATCCTCCACCTTCCAGGCTATTTTCAGAAACGAGGAGGCGGCTGAGTGTTTCAAGGGAGTCTCCAATAAGAGCGCGTCTACTACTCTCCAAAGCAGACAGCAACTGCACAGCCACAGTGACCCATGTTTGATGTCAGTGTTACGTCACCCACTCCGACAGGGAGCGTCAGCTTTGAGGGAAGAAAAATATCGCCCAAGGGAAAAGGAACACTCCCCTCCCCCAGCTGGCTGTTCGCCTGACAGCCTGTAAACTTGATCCCCAGTGCTCTGCTTTTTCCTGTCTGTGGGATTGCTCGCTGTGGCCCACTACCAGGCTGCCTCAGTCGTTGGATCTGAGAGTTCACTGCTTGATTATGCCCCTATGCCCTGTTCCCGGCCCAAATTCATACCCTGGTTTCCTGTTCTCGCTTCAGGAAACCCTCTCCACCAAGCCCAAATTCAGCCTTGAATCCTAGGGCAGCCTCTCCACACCAGCTGGTTTTCCTTAATATTTTTATTTTTTGCGTGGGTGAGCATGCCAGAGCACACACACGCAGGGCAGATAATTTGCAGAAGCTGGTTGTCTCCATCTACCATGTGAGATCAGGCTTGGTAGCACTAGCCTTTACCTGCCGAGCCCTCTCACCGGCCCTGCACCCCAGTTCCTGTCCAGGCCTTCCAGTCTCTCCTTCTATCTAACCCCCCCCCCCCCAGGCTCTCAGGTTCGACTTCACTGCCCTTTCTTCTCACAGCTGAGGTTCTGGGCAGTGATGATGGCAATGCTGCCCAGGACGACCCCGGCTCCCATGATGTCCGTGGGCGCCACGGCTTCGTAGAGAACGTAGTACTGCAGTATCAGAGCCACCACGACCTCAGAGTGCAGCAGGGCACACACCAGGGCAGGGTGGGCCTTCGTGACGGCATAGCTCACACAGATGAAGGACACCAGTGCCAGGAGCCCCACGGCCACCACGCAGCTCCAGCTCAGCACGTCCTGCGGGATCACCGGCGTCTGCAGCACAAAGAGGCCCGGTACACAGACGATTATTCCCACCAGGCCGAACAGGAAGGCCACGGTTGGTAGGCAGGAGGGGAAGCGAAGAGACCGGTAAACCTGCAGCCCCAGTGACAGAGCCAGCCCTCCCAGGAAGGCCAGGATGTAGCCCAGGGCCATATAGAGCCCAGTCGTCCCCTCTTGCAGTGTTCCTACTCCAGGTCCCACAATGATGATTAGTCCCAGGGTGCTGCCGAAGAGGCCACACCAGGCGTAGCCGCCGAGACCCTGGCTCTCCAGGCAGAGCGCAAGGAGGGCCGAGCACACGGTGGAAGAACCTTTGCGAACAGTGACCGCGTTGCCGGCCGGCACCACCTGAACTGCGCTGTAGGCGCAGCCGATGCTGAGGACGTTGAGAACGGCGTGAAGGAAGGCCCGAACCCGGACGTCAGGAGGCCCCAGCAGCGGATCGCCTCGGAACTTGAGTAGCAAGGCGATGGGGAGATGGAAGAGGCATCGGAAGATGAGCAGCTCCAGCGAGGGCAAGTGGGAGGACTGGTAGGCCATGCGGGAGAACGGGCCCACGAAGCCGGCAGACAGGCCTCCACCGAGCAGGGCCACAAACACGCCCTTGGTGGCATCGGAGGGCCCGCAGCGCTGGTGATGGCTCGAGGGGAGGCCGGCTGGAGTGGAGGACAGCAATGGCCAGGTGAAATAGGGAGGACGGGTCTTCTGTCAAGGAGAAAGGAGCTCGGGCAGGAGGGCAACCACAGCCCGGGCAGCTTAGGGTAGGGTGAGTGCCAGGCTGAGATCACAGCCCTTCAGGACGGTAGAGGCAGTCATAGGCGCTAGAGAGGGCCGGAAGATGGAAGAGGTGGTGCGGTGTGGGCCTTGAGCATCTAGAGCAGGGAGCAGGGGGTAGACAGTCCAGGGCGCGTCCTGTCCCTCTGGGAGGGACAAAGGACCCAGGGATGCTCTGCTCCTTTGAGGAAAGGGAGTTAGCTTCAGACGCTATGTACCCACATGATGTCACAGGCTCCAGGGACTTCTGGGAGCATCATTAGGAATTGCATTTGTCGGAGTCTCCTGGGCCACTGGGAAGTTTAGAGGAGGAGGGGAATATCCAGATCCTGACCGCTGCCCTGATCTGCTATTCCCCTTTGCCATAGTACTCACCGTCTCTTCTTGGCCTTCCCCATCTCCTCCTGGGTCTGGTTGCCTGATCCCCTTCAGAGCTCCAACCATTGTGACTTGGTTGGAGTGGGGGTAAGGTTCTTCCCTGGAACCTTCCTGAGGGGGCAGGGACTATTTTCTCATTAATTCTAATTCTGTTTTTTTTTTTTTTCTTTTCTTTTGGTTGTTTTGTTTTTTGTTTATTTTGGGGGTTGGTTTGTTTTTGTTGATTTTAGTTTGGGATGAGTTCTGAGGGTGAGAGGAGAAAGAGGCAAGCTCGTTCTGTAGGCCAGGCTATTCTGGAATTCACTATTTGACCAGGATGTTAGGAGGTGTGTCCCACCAGTCCAGGCTTCTCTTCTGTCTTTGTTGCTATGACTCCAGGTTTATTCTCATTCTCTCTTCTTCCTCTCCCCTCCCCCTCTAGCTCTGTAATAAAATTGATTTTGGTTTATTTGGTTTATGTTTTGCCTCATTTTACAAGGGTTGTGTTTTTTTCTTTTTGATTTCTCTCTGTGTGTGTTCACGTCCCTGTGAATATAAAAGCAAGACGGTGACATCACGTATTTTCCTTCAGGCTGTGTCCGCCTTTTGATTTTTTTTTTTTTTTTAACAGTCTTCATTGGCCAAATCTTGCCAATGAAGGTTCGGCTGGCTGGTCAGAAAACCCCAGGGATCCCCCTGCCTCTGTGTCTCCTACCCTATGATTACAAGCCTGCAGGACCCCTATGTGGCCTCCTCTCTTCTTTTCTGTCTGGGTGAGCGTGTGTGTGTGTGTGTGTGTGTGTGTGTGTGTGTATGCATATGAGCACGTCACGTGATGCCGTGAGCATGTGGCGCTCGGTCCTCACCTTCAGCCCGTCTGAGACTGACTCTTTTTCTCGTGTGCTTCTGTAAATGCCAGAGTAACCGTCCTGAGTGCTCCTGGGGCTCCTCCAGCTCTCACCGCCGGGCCTTACACTGGACGATCACCCCAGCCCCTGGTCAGCCTTTTTACTTGAGTTCTGGGGCTCAAACCCAAGCCTTCATGCTTCTCTCTGTGTGTTTTTATTCTTATTTTCACATTCTGTCTTATGCGCATCAGTGTGTGGCCTGTCTTCGTGTCCGTGCACCACGTGCCTGTGCCTGGTGCCCTTGGGGGTCAGAAGAGGGTGTGGGGTCCCCCGAAACGAGTCACAGATGTTTGTAAAGCTCCCTGTGGAGTTTGAGAGTTGAGACTGGATGGTCAGCCCAGCACTCTTACCCGCTGAGCCGTCTCTGTAGCCCCAGGTTCTTTTTAAACAATTTACTGTGAAGACGGGCATCGTGGCGCACACCTTGAATCCTAACATTTGGGAGCAGAAGTGGATCCAGAACAACCTGATCTGCGTAGTGAGTTCCAGGTCAGCCAGGGCTACACAGTGAGACCCTGCCTCAAACAAACAAAGACAAAAATGGAAGAGAAAAGATGAGTGTGTGTGTGTGTGTGTGTGTGTGTGTATGTGTTCATGCAAGCGTGTATGTGCATGAGTGTGCAGGCTGAACCATCTCTCCAGTCCCAAGATTTATTTTCTTGAATTATGTGTGTGTGTAGACATCTGTGTAAGAGTGTGTGCATAAATGCAGGTGCCTGCGGAGGCCAAGAACATCCCCTGGAGCGGCAGCTGGGTGTTGGGGGACAAACCCTTGGGTCTTCTGACAGAGCAGTTCTCTCTCTTAACCACTGAGCAATCCCTCTAGCCCTCGCTGTCTTGCTTCTCTTGGGTTTGAGACAAGGCTGGCCTCAGTCACTGCTGCCCTCTGTGGCATCTGGCCTCAGTCACTGCTGCCCTCTGTGGTATCTGGCCTTGAACTCTTGGTCCTCATGCCACAGTCTGCCAAAGTGCTTGGGATGTAGGCTCGGCTCGGGGCAGGCACCGTGTTCAGCTTCAGTTTCGGTGGGTTTTGTTCCTTTTGCTGCTGTCGTTCTTTGGAAAAGGGGCTGCTGTGTAGCTTGTCAGGTCTGAGTGGCTGGGGCTTGCTAGTGGCCAGCACGGCCTTGAGCTTGTAGTAACTTCCTGTCTTGGCTGCCCTAGTGCAGGGATGGCAGGCCTGAGCCATCACACCCCAGGGAGCCATTTGAGAGTTTGTCTCCTGAGGTGTTCCCTTTGGGGTGGGGGCGGGGCTTGTTTTGTTTTTGAGACCTCTCACTAGGTAGCCCTGGCTGACCTGGAGCTTGCCGCTTAGAGCAGGCTGGCCTCCAACTCACAGAAATCCTCCTGCCTCTGCCCCCCAGCAACATCATGGTAGGCCTCTCCAGAGTTTTTAATTTTGCAACTCCAGGGGGGAGTCTGTAAGATGTCTCAACGGTGGTTCAGGAATATGGTTTCTGTGTTCACTCTGTTTCTCATGCTTCTGCCTGTTCTGGGCTAGTGTCGCGCCAGGAGGCCTGCACGAAGGCCTCTGCGTTTATACACAAGGACGCAGGAATGGATCTTTCCACTAGTGGACACAAAGTTCCAGGCTCCGCGTTTATCTGCACTAGTGATCATCCGTGCGGAGGCCCGTTCTGCCGGGCTGGCCCGGGCATTCCTTGCCTGTGGGCCTGGTGGCTGCCCCTGGGTGGCTGCCTTGTGCGGATGCTGACTCTAGGTCTATAGGTTCCACTGGTGCCAATTGTGAATCAGCCATGTTGTAAGTCTTCGGCCCCCGAGAACGTGTGTGAGTGTGTGTGTGTGTGTGTGTGTGTGTGTGGTGAGCAAATGTGCACACACAGCACGCTCTAGGCGATGTGTACCCCTGAGCGAAGGGGGCGCAGAGAGGGGAGGGCGGGGGGCGGGCGCGGGGGTGAGCCCCTCCACAGGGAGCGAGTGGTCTAGGGCGGCGCGGCCCAGCCACCGCCCCGCAAGGTGTCCCCGCGGCTCGCGTTTCCCGGGGTGGGATCCTCCGGGCTCGGCCGCCGGGGCCCAGGGTCGGCGGCGGCCGCGCCGTGCTGGCTTCCTCTCGGCGGCGGCGGCGCTGGGGGGGGGGCGGTTTC